AGAGGCATATGGGCTTCCTCTGGCAGCCTCCTGTGCGGGGCCGTCAGAAGCGGGGTCCGGGAGGCGGGGGCTGCCACAGTGAGTTTGTGCAGGACGGCTACATGGTGCTGGTGGCCCTGGCAGGTTGTGGCCCCTGCTAGAACAGCCCAGATTTTATGCCCTTTTGACGCTGTGCTGTCCTGGGTGGGATCTGTGCCAGGGTGCTCAGCTTCACCTGCATTCCGAGGGCCTCGGCACCAGTGACAACGGCCCCCTGGCTTAAAGCAGGGCCTCCCAGGCCAGCACCCTGTGCCTCCCGGTGGAAACGGAGGGAGCTGCTTCCCCGTCTCTGCGCCTTCAGAAAAACAGACGACCCCGCAGAGGCCTGGAGGAAAGCTCTGCCGGCCAAGAAACAAGATTTAATTTGGGAAAATGAGGAAATGAGGAGACAGGTTCTCAGTCATCTCACCTGGGCCAGACCCGCTGCGGCTTTAATCCTGTAATTTTGGGCGACAGGAAGTGCCTCCCCAGACAGAGGGCCCAGCCCCTCCAAAGGAATTTTCCATTATTAGGAGGAAGGGCTGTATTTATCCAGCTTACAGGGGAGCAGGGGAGTGAGGGAAAGATTTAGATATGAAAGTATTGACTTTTTTTTAACATCTTACACTAAAGTCGATAAAAATTTAATTTATACTTTTTTCTAAAGGACCAGGGCTCTCAACAAGCTTCCCTAGCCCCTGGCAAGCCAGCTAATTGCATGAGGGAGTTGCTTGTACTTCCCGGCCACCACTAATACCGTCAATTGAGGAGCCCGTGGTCACCTGTGACGGCAGGAACAGGCTGGGGAGCGACGGTGGCTCTGGAGGCAGAAACCAGCCCGTAGCTCCGGGACCTCAGGGAGCTCGACATCCCCAAACCCCGCATGCTGTCATCTCCGGTCCACAGGTGTCACAAGTGGCCTCCCACGCGCCCCCTCCTGCGCCTTCAGCCACATGGAGACGCTGTGGCAGTCGTCCCCGTGCTGTGGCAGATCCATCATGAGGAACGCAGGCCCCGCGCTCACTCGTGGGAGAGACCCAGGCCCCACCGTGGATCTACACACCCAGACTCCCTGGCACCTCGACACTACCCAGACTCCCTGGCACCTCGACACTACCCACACACTTTCCTCCTCGAGGCCTCCTCGCTGAGACCTGGCCCTGCCACATGCTCCAGGACCACCGGCCCCTCTGCCCCCGTCCTCCCTGCCTGGGCACACGGCCACCCCCACTTCCCTGAGCACTTGCGTGTGCTGTCCCCTCTACCCACCAGGATGGCAGACACTGCATCTTCTCAGGGAGGCCCTGACACGGGGACCCCTCCTCACCTTCTCTGGAGCTGGTCCTCATCCCGACAGGACACTGCTTTGCCTGGGACCGCTGCCCTACTGCACACTGAGTGCGGGGCCGGGGGGCGGGCACAGACACTCGGCCCAAGGAAGGTGCGTGTCAACCTGTCAGATGACAGATGGCCACTTTGACCTGGGGCTGGACGTCGCTGGAGCCTCCAGCCAGATGTGGCCTCAGTCACTGGCCTGGGGCTTGTGTGGTTCAGGGCTGCCGGAGAGACCCCAAGAGGACATGGGTAGCTGGAGCTCAGGGCCGGCGGAGCGGCCAGACGTCCTGCCCACGCAGGCTGCTGGCATCTGTGCCCTGACTGCCCGCCCACCGACGGCCCAGGCTCACCGGGGCCTTGCTTGGTCAGTTGTCCAGTAGGCTTTGGGCAGAGCCGCCCAGCCTTGGCAAGGCCCATGGGCTGTCACAGCCCTCCCCACCCCGCATCCGGAACAAAGTCACTTAGCGCCACACCAGGTGGATGGTTCAGAAAGGCTGCGTTCTCCAAGCAGCACACCAGGGGCTGCACAAAGCTGGAGTCTGGCCAGTCCTGAGGCTCTGCAGGCGGCCTGCTGCCCCACCTCACCAGCAAACATGAGGGCACCGCCCTCGGCACCCAGCAGGCTCTGCCTCAGCCCCTGTAGAGGGTGGCGACGGTGTGGGCTGCAGGGCATGGCCTGCAGGCAGCCACCGTGGGCCTGCCCGAGCTGAGTGGCTTTCAGCAGGCCAGGCAACCACTCAGGGCTGCGTGGCCTGGATGTGCCCCCAGAATCCACATGCTGAAACCCTCCCTCCAGTGCGATGGTATTAGGAGAGGGGGCCTTTGGGGGCGGCTGGGTCAGGTGGGTGGAGCCCTCGGAACAGGACCAGCACCCTCAGGGGTAGAGACACGAGCGCTGGGTCCTGTTCTCTGCTTCGTGCCACGTGGGGACATGGGAAGGCGTCGTCAGCAAGCCAGGAAGCCGGCGCTCACAGGAACCAAGTCTGCCCGCACCTGGATCTTGACCTCTGGCTTCCAGAACTGTGAGAAATAAATTTCTGTTGTTTAAGCCCCCGAGCCGTAGGTACTTTGTTGTAGTTGCCCAAGTGAGATAGAACCTCATGCTCCTCAGACAAGTGGAGAGGATCGGCCCCCACCTCACGGGAGGGTGGGGATGGGGACAGGGAGAGCCTCATTCTGAGAGCGTCAGGAGGAGGGCAGGAAGGTGCCCAGGTGAGTCCAGTTCCTGGCTCGGACACGCCCCTCTTCCCTGGTCTCGTGCAGGAAGGTGCCCAGGTGAGTCCAATTCTGGCTCGGACACGCCCCTCTTCCCTGGTCTCGCGCAGGAAGGTGCCCGGGTGAGTCCAGTTCCCAGCTCGGACACGCCCCTCTTCCCTGGTCTCGCGCAGGAAGGTGCCCAGGTGAGTCCAATTCTGGCTCGGACACGCCCCTCTTCCCTGGTCTCGTGCAGGAAGGTGTCCAGGTGAGTGCAGTTCCCGGCTCGAACACGCCCCTCTTCCCTGGTCTCGTGCAGGAAGGTGTCCAGGTGAGTGCAGTTCCCGGCTCGAACACGCCCCTCTTCCCTGGTCTCGGGCAGGAAGGTGCCCAGGTGAGTCCAATTCTGGCTCGGACACAGCCCTCTTCCCTGTTCTCTCAGATCCTCCCACTGGTTGAGTTGAAGACAGCATGATGTGTCCATCCCTGCGGCTCGGACGAGCTGGCCCCATCCTGGAGACCAAGCTTTTGCTTAATCACACTTCCTGGCATCCCACCTACAGAGATGAAATCCATTTAGGTCAATTGTTCTCACCCAGGGCTTTTGTTCCCAAGGGAGCATCTAGTGCGTCCGGAGACAGTTTTGGTCGTCACAGTGGAGGGGCAGATGCTACTGGTATCCAGTGGGTGGAGGCTGGGGGGGGCACCAAGCACCCTGCAGGGCACAGGGCAGCCCCCACAAAGCACAGCATCATCCAGCCCAAATGCCAGTTGTGCTGACATTAAGAAAACATGGTGTAAGGCCAGTCGCGGTGGCTCACACCTATAATCCCAGCACTTTGGGAGGCTGAGGTGGGCGAATCACAAGGTCAGGAGTTCGAGACCAGCCTGGCCAACATGATGAAACCCCATCTCTACTAAAAATACAAAAAATTAGCTGGGCATGGTGGTGGGTGCCTGTAACCCCAGGTACTCAGGAGGCTGAGGCAGAAGAATCACTTGAACCCAGGAGGCAGAGGTTGCAGTGAGCCAAGATCGCGCCACTGCACTGCAGCCCACGCAACAGTGCGAGACTCCGTCTCAAAAAAGAAAAAAGTAAAAGAAAACATGGTGTAAGTTAACAATGTCCTTTCTTAAAATGCAAATAGGCCGGGTGTGGCAGCTCACGCCTGTAATCCCAGCACTTTGGGAGGTCGGGGTGGGTGGATCATCTGAGGTCCGGAGTTGGAGACCAGCCTGGCCAAAATGGTGAAACCCCATCTCTACTAAAAATACAAAAATTAGCCAGGCATGATGGTGGGCACCCATTATCCCAGCTACTCGGGAGGCCAAGGCAGGAGGATGGCTTGAACCCTGGGAGTGGAGGTTGCAGTGAACTGAGATTGCACCATTGCACTCCAGCCTGGTGACAAGAGCGAGACTCCATCTCAAAAAAAAAAAAAAAAAAAA